AGATGGTAGAAGAAAGGAAAGGAGAAGAGGAGAACAAAAGGCACCAAAATGATGAAATGACATAGAAATGACTAAAGATGATGAGGGACTACTCAGTTAAATGAAATCTATTTTATTTTTTCAAAAAAAGATACCATCATCAACCAAACTCAATACAGTATGAATGGACTGGATGACACCCGCTCTTCTCGATTTGATTAAATGTGATATCAGTCAGCACACATCTGTTTAAATCCTCCTACTGCCCCCAGATGATCCTAATCCAGTTCAGTCTGTGCCTGATCTAACTTCACATTTTCACAAGCTGATGCATAATGCAAGATGAAGTAGAAATGCGTCTGCTGGAGCTCAATTAGACTGCAGGCAAGATCTATTCATCTTGGTTACAGCACTGACCTTTTGAGCTGAGCACAAATAAATGGGCCAATCAGCATGTGAGCATTTAAGTGGGTGTGTACGTGTGTTTAACATAATCACTTTACAGTGGCAAATGCGGTAAGTTCAGCTGAAATGCTATGTGACTATTTTATGCTCGGCTGTTAGAATAAAAACCCACTCCACTGAGAGATTAGAGGAAAGGTTCACATTCTTCAAGTCTGTCTTAATGCAGGACTTGCATGTGTGGTGAAAACTGTGTTAGTAGTGGTAGGGGGTTATTTACATTATCATGGAAACAAAGCTTTTACACACACCTCATTATTGTGTATGTGGTGCTTTGTGTAGATGGAATTAGCTGAACTTTGACCCCAGCTGTGGTTCTTTTGTAGGTGCAGCCAATCACCACTGGCCACTGCCTAAATGGATGGAAAAACCAATCGGCCTACAGGTGTTTTGGAATTTCCCAGACTGTACAGTAACAAATTACCTTCATATGAAGACCAGACCAAGACAGATGGCACATTAGGTTGATGAAACATCAGCATGCAGATGCAGCTACCAAGACTGTTAGAGTCTCTGAAATGCAACGATCCATTGCTGGTGACATTAGCATTGTAGCTAAGGTGGCGCTGCGTAGTACACACAGCTGCACCTGCTTAGTGTTACTGGCTCTTCGCTGCAGCTCACTGTAAGACAACACTGTTCTCAGAAGCAGATGGGAGACTGTAACTCAGGAGATGTTCTCTAAATCTTTCCAAGAAGCTGAAGCTTTAAACTAGCTTCAACTAAGCTTTAGAAGGCATTTTGTGTGCACAGTGATTGTGGATTTTGTCTTCCATTGCTTACTGAATGCTGGAATCATTTTAGAAAATGATCTGTTTGTGGCCTGTAATGGACAGATGTGAAATTATACACTCTATTTTATTCTTCTGTGTCACAGAGGCCCATTATTGTTTTATTTATTTGTTTGGCTTGATTAGATGGTTGACCTGATTTGAGCCAGTTCGAAATTATGCTCATGCTAATTGGATTCAGTAGGCTTCTGCTGTATTGCTGTGGGTCTTCAGTCTGAAGGTCAGTATATTTAATACTTTAGTGGATCGTCAGCTCCAATTTTGTGGTGTATATTAATAATGACCACAGGAGGAATAATGTGTTTTGAGGAAAAATGGATGAGATTCAGAAAAAATGAAGTAACACTTAATTTTACATTTTCATGATTTGTCATTTTCCAAAAATTTAAAGCAAGTTACTTGTGAATAATATTTGGTTTTGTAGTCATGATAGAATGAATGCAGTGGCCAGTTAGTGCACTTCTACCACTAGTAACACCAGACAACCTAGAGTAAACTAAAGAGCAGGTGCACAGCAGCTGAACATGTAAAAATGTCAAATTTTGTGTACACAGTTTACAGTTAAAGAATTAACAAGCAAATATTTACTTTCACATGACTTAGTTCCTTGCAAGAGGCTTCCTATGAAATTATCAGGAATTAACAGAACTATAAAATTAAAATCCGTTATGTTCTGACTGAGTCTACTCATTAATGGATAGTGTATTGTGCTGCTGACAGCAGTGATGTCTGCTTGGGTTGATTAGTCAATCAGCTCTGATTTTCCTCAGGTTTGTTCATGTCAGGTTCTGACTGTGTCCTCAGGTCTCAGTTTTGAAAAGCATAATCTATGCTCATCAGGCTTTGGTAGGTTAGCTACAGTTCTGTTTCAGATCGAGGCTTTCAGTGGTGGACTAAGTGCCACAGAAGGGGTAGAGAAGTCAGAAAATATTGAGAAAAAATCATGTTGGTTTTTGTCTTTTCATGGCTTTTATCGACATCAGGAAAACTATAGAATAACACCAGCCTTTTACTTTACACTTGCCAGATGTGACCCCAGCTGGCCCACATTCCTCTGCCACAGTTAGGGGCAGCTGAGGTTGTAATGTGCCAACCGATTTATTTGTCTTTTCTGCTGTACATATGCAGCCATGTGATCACCTAATATAACCACTGAGGTGGCTCTGCTGATGCCTGCCTGGCAGTTGTTTTTGCTATCTGTGAAGAATGAAATGTTTTCCTACATGGATCCTCTGAGGCCCTGCTTCTAGGCTGAGTGTGTGTGTGTGCGCGCACATTCAGCTGGTAGAGGAAGTGTATGGGTGTTGTTTTCCTCTGACTTTTTTTTAAATCGTTTGACATTTCGTGATCTTGTTTTAACAGTGTGAGCGAGATGAGAGATGGAGACGGCGCAGGGGGAATATTGATGGACAGACTAAAATACCAACAGGACAAGTCGAGACTCCATCTGTATTGACAGACGGCAGTAATTGATTTGTCATTCATGCCGCTGGGCTTCCCACTGATTGGAAAAGGACAGAGATGTTCACAGCAAAGTCCTTTTACTTGACTTCATCTTAAAGGCTTTCTGCAATTTTTTTTGTCTCTCTTCTGTTCATGGTTTATTAGTTGGTGCAGAGTGATGAACAGAGAAAAGAGGGGATGATATTCAAACACACAGACACTTTTCTCCATATCTTAGCTCCACAAAAGCAACCTAATATGTGTCTGTCTGGACTTTCAATTACTGCCCCATCACCAAATCACTCTGAGGTTATTATTCCATATGAACCTCGTGCATTCGGTCTCTTACCTTCTTGTCAGAGAGTCCAGACACAGTGTCAATATATTGCTCCTGGATCATGAAGGCAGCCAAGTTGGCGGTGTAAGAAGCCAGGAAAATAACAGCAAAGAAGGCCCAGACCAGGACCATGATCTTACTGGTTGTTCCTTTAGGGTTTTCTATGGGGACTGAGTTGTTGAAGACGATGCCCCACAAGAGCCACACTGACTTTCCAATGGTGAAGGTCGGGCCACCAGAAGCTGATGAAACAGAGGATGGAGGAAGTCGAAGGCTGTTTTGTTGCACTCAAGAAAGAAACACTGGCATAGGCCATAATTATTTCATATGTATTAGAGAAAAAAAAATCCCATTTTCTTTCTAGTGTCGTCTAACACACACACAGTTTTGGTTGTATTCTCCTAGTTTTTTGTCTGTGCACAAAAGATGGTGAATAGAATTGTATTCAAAGTGTTGAAAATTCAGCGGCATCATCTCTTCCCAGAAGCAATGCTCCTGTTACTGTGGCTAATTTTAAATTTCCCTTTTAGAACAACTCGTATGTATTTTTTGATTTTGCACCATGTTCAGCAGAACAACACATGAATATCCTTGGTGCCTTCCAAAATCATTACAAATCACCATACAAGCAAAAGCATTTGTCTTATCTAACACCAATATTTTTAAGGTTTTAGACACAAAATTGGTTAAAGTTCAGAGTTTGGGTCAAAATTACTGGTTAATGGTCATTTTTGGCAAAATAATCCACCATTGGCTTTCAGTAAGAGGACGAGATGACAGTCAACAGTTTTAGCCACAAATTATTGGCTGTCACATTGATTACTTGTTTTTAAGTTGCATTTTTGTTTGTACATGATCTCTCATAAATCAAAATATGTCTGCTGTTCACCATACAAGTAATCACAAGCCATCTCATGCCCTTCTGGGGACCTCCAACCAACAGAACAATTTCACAGCCTCAGCCCATGTCCATCGCTCTATGCCAATGTTGCTCATGTGCAGCAATGCAGGGTGCCACCGCTATCAATCACACTTCGATTAGTGCAGTGACCAATGCTAATTAAAACAGGAAAATGACCTTTTGGACCCGGAGAGGAGACACGCTTTGTCAGCACTGTATTCTGGAATTGATTAACTCTCTAGAAAACATTTTGTTGTGGAGTTCTTAACATTACAGTTTGTGCAGATGGGGCTGTATTTAGCAGCTTGCTGTGAAATGCTTTGTGAGATGCATATTAAGTACAGTTTATGGGTCTGTTATATTATCTTCATAGATGTGGATATTTTTTAGATGAAGAAACAAAATTGATTCTAACCACATTACACTTAGAAAAGAGCAGATTGCAAAATATGGGAGAATAACCGAATACAGTATACGTGGAAATCTGTGAGATGGATATCAAGTTTACTGGGCTGGTTACTCCTGTATCCACCACCTTACAGTGAAACAAAGAGGTATGAAACTCACCTTTGGCACTGACCAGACTACGGTTGTAGCCAACTGGACTGAAGTATTCAAACACAAACACAGTCACGGCCACCACAGTCAGGCACATCACAAACATCATGACCCAGACTGCTGGGCTGTAGGGTTCTGAACAAGGAAGAGAAGTGAAGGAACAAACAAAGGATTAAAGTGTTTCTCTCTTCTTTTTTTGTCCTTGTTTTTCCTAAAGCTCAGCCTGTGATGGTGTCACCATGTGTGGTAGGAGGATAGCAGACAGGGGAACGAACAACCGACTGATTTGTAAATGAAAGGAGAAAAATACACAGTTCAGGATTTTGTGCTGAATATTGTTGTTTGGGGTTTGGAAAAGGGATTTAGGTGTGTGTGTGTGTGTGTGTGTGTGTGTGTGTGCAGTATGTAAAGGGATTAAGTTGTAGGCTAGAGTTATTGGTGGAATGAAAGCTTAATGGGAAGTTTCCTGAAGCGTCTGCAGAGACAGAACTCCTTTAAGTAGGACATCTTGGGAGAAAGTGGTGAGAAAGAAAGTGGCAGCAACTTGGCAAACATGTACTGTACATGACACTCCAGTATAATGGATGTTAAAACCAGTTTGATTTAAAACTGTCAAATTGAAATGGTTGTAGAAGAGGCAGTCATTTTTTTCTAACCAAGAAAGGCAGATGGGGAAACTGTCCCGTTGCTGCGGGCTACCATGACGCTGATGCCTGTCTCAACAAATGGCACAGAGAAGTCGATGATTTCTGAACGCTCCTCATTGATTGTGAGAGAGCCAATAGCCATGTCAGCTCGTCTATACACGACCTGAGAGAGGAAAGACAGGAACAGAAAATAAAGTGCTGTAGAGGAACAGTGACGCATTGACAGTCGTCAGCAGTGTAAAATCCATGCTTTCCTGTGTTTATTCTGCATTTGTACCAAACTATTTTTGTTACTGTAAAATATACCTGAAGGGATGTATTTTATCACAACAAAACCTGCTTCCCACCATCCCAAAGGACAGGTTGCCGAGCTTTTCATCGCTGACAAGAGAACAAACTGAATTTCATGAGCAGTCCTTTTTGAACATGGAAGCCACAATGGACCAAGCTCCAGCGTAGGACATGGCTCTAATGTGCAGAGATAAATGAAACATTTCTCATCATCTGAGCAGCACAAAGACAGACTGCTGCATCTCAGGAGCACTCCTATCAAATGTAGGGGTTTTTTTTCTGAAAAGCAAGACTTTTGCAGAGAGGTTTATTTTATTTATTTATTTATTTATTTTGTAAATGTGCACATCCAGACCCAGAGCAAAGTGCCTTCAGGCACAGAAACACAAGCAGGAAAGTTCTCATGAGGACCACCTGTTCAGGGTGTTGCACTTGCAGATGTAACTGTGTCTGATGTGGCTTGGTGTGTGTGTGTGTTTATGTGTGTGTTAGCTCCACCATGTACATGCAAACCCATCACAGAAACTCGCTCAGCTGTGCTCACTTAAGACCCTGTGCATCATTACTATCACCCATCACATATACTGTGGTGCAAAGGTGGGAAGCAACTATGTACCTATACTCAAGTATTATCTTTAAGTACAGGTTTAAGGTACTTGCACAACTACATTTGTATAGTGATCACTATAGTAAGGCCCCACATCTTTTTTTTTTTTAACTCTAATTTTTGAGTTAACCCTGAAAACAATTACAAGGATTAATGGTTGAAATCTTTCCCTGTGAAACGGGATCTCTGTGTGTCATCAGTAGTTAATGATGGCGATTAAGTAAACAAATGTGACAAGTTGTTGTCCTAAATTTTCACACAATGCTGTCTTCAGCTGTCATGCTTACTCTTGCATAAGTTATAGGCATTGGTTGGCAATTTTCAACAGCAAATGATAAAAATGGAAGGGTAGGAATATGTTTTGACACCAGGGAATGTTATTTTTGAGGTGTGTAGCATTTACTGTAGGCAACCTTTTGTTATATTTGGCCTCATACCACTTGATTTTGAGTCCCCTCCATTTAAAGGGCTATGTAGCCCTCTCACTTGTATCAACAGTGTAAAAGAAGTCAGTTGTAGTGATGAAGCCCCAGAGAACTATCACTCTACTTCCTCTCAGCTTTATGAAGTGTTTTAGCATCTCACCACTCTTATCAGCATCATTTCAGAAATCCTTTGGTAAAACTCACTGTACATTACCTGCCTCGCGCTGAACGACTAGCCGGCAGCAAGCCATTTCTCTCAGTAGTTGGTAGAGACCAAAACAAATCTTAAAGGCAACATTGTGCTTTATTCTTCAAGTGAGTGATGATGTTTTTTGTGCCTGATGGATGTATATGCAACTGTTTGCTAACTAATGCAGCTTTAAATGCAGTTTCTCTTTTCATGTGACTTTGTATTTTGACTGGTTTTGTATGGTCAAAAGTTGTTTTTTTCCCTTTTTTGAAAGTTTTTCTTCAGCTCTCTAACTTGCCTTTAATGCAATTAGAGCATGTTGTAGCCCCAAGCTACATTTATTTTAGTTAGATTTGTGGGTGAAACATTTCCAGCACCGTGCTCTGATAATTGTCTGTAGATGGCCAGTAGGCAGCTCAAACGGCCACAGCAGCTTCTGCTTTCAGGGATTTATTCTTCTTTAAATAACTCAGCTCTGAGTCTCACCTCTCCAATCATGCCATTCCAAATCCCACGGACCAGCTTGCCATGTTTTCCGTTGGTGACCAGGTAGAGGTCGTAGGAGAACTTAATGGTGCGGGACAACTTCTTAAGGATGTCTATGCAGAAGCCCTTACAGCACAGTTTGGTGTACGATTCTGAACGACCAATAATGCTGTGAGAAGGGTGAGAAAAATCAGAGTCACACATAAAGTAAATACAGTTTTGCTTCAGCATCTTGTGATCAAAACCCCTCTTGTAGCTGGGGCCATTGCTATCTTTAGCTCCAGAGACTAAATCTGTTGGTTCAGAGAATGAGTGTTAAATAGTCACTGGCTCTCCCGCTGACAGTTGTCAAAATCTACAGCAGCAAAGTGAAGACCAGGTGGTGACGTTCTCTGTTAGCAAAGTTCCTTTCAAAGAGGATACAACTAAAAATTGCACACAATCCAACACACACACAGTTTGACAGGGCCCACACTAAATGGTTGGTGATGGTCTTTACTCAAAGGCCATTAAGGTGTGTGGCATTTGAGGGACACTCACTTCCTTTCTGTGGCCTTGCTACTTAATGGGGTGCAGAAGAAGAGTACAGAAGGACAGGAAATGGGAGAAAAAGAATAAAAATAATGGAGATTCACTAAAGCAGCAGCAGACAATGAAATTTAAGAGCAGACAGATTGAAAATGGAGACAACTGACTTCCTGAAAAAAAACCCTCTCTTTTTTCCACTTTTTCCATTTATCCAGCTGCCACAGTGTAGAACTAAAATGTACAAAGGCTGAGTCACAGTGTGCATGTGTGAGTGAGATAACCTCAGCATGTCAGGCAATCCGCATAAAAGCTGAGGGATGATAGAGTATGTGAGTGACTAAATGAGCAAGACATTGAATGAAAAGAGTCAAGTGAGTAATTAACTTTAAAGTTGATTATTTTTAAAAGTGTAAGCATTTATTGTAGCCCAATTTTAAGTGGTTTTGAAGCACTCGCTTCTTTCACAGGAGTCAATAGCTCTGATTAACGCAACGTTAATTAATTGCTGCAGGAAGTGGCCACCTGTCATCCTTATACACACTCCACTAACAATGCATACACTCAAACATGCTTAAATTGGGCCATCTCTTTCTGTCTCGCTCACACACAAATACATGCACACAGTACAGAATCCTCTGAGGATTAGCTGCAGTTGTGTTGTTCTGTGTGCTCGTCACAAAATGGCATGGAACTAGTGTTGCGTGGAGGGAAGCACCATGACAGACTCAGACCAGAGAGAGCGAGAAAGGATGATTCTCCAGTGAACAGCAAACATGGTGAACAACTAGACAGTTTTTTTAAAATTATCCAATATTGCTGTCTTATTAATAGGTATGATCTGTAGCTGCCTTTAAAAACACCATTTCCCATAATCCCTAGACAATACGTTAAGCATCACAACTTGACAAAAGACAGACATGTCTAATAATACCAGTAGGACACAGATGACTGAATGTTTTAAAATCTTTTGGACAATAAAGGTTCTGACTTTAAAAACTGGGGGAAATTACTTTTTTATTGTAGACAAAAACCAAGTTATGACACAATACTGCACTTGCAAGTCTGCATGTGAAATGTAGTTTGTTCTATGCTCACAAAGTAATTATTTAACTAATCACAATAGCGTCAAGGTGCTTTAGGGTTAATTTTTGCTTTAACTTTAATTGCAATCTCTCCCTAAGTTTTAGTTGCCTAACCATAGTTTACTTGCCATAATCACTGCCTTTCCTAACCTTAACCATAGTTTGTATAAGGATACTGCAGACAATGTAATCAGGAGTTTTGTAAACTTATCCCCATATCAGCATTTAGTCCAGCAGTAGGTTTAGGACAAGTGTGTGCCCTCATACCTTTAGCCTTAGTGTATTTCATTTACAGTGATATGAACCAAAATGAATCCTCACATTTGAGACGCTGGATCCAGAAGATGTTTCAGCTTTTTTTGCCAGATCATTTATGTGCATTTAGCCACTGGTCCATACATGTTGTGCTAGACCTTTCTATATTACAAAGCCAAGATTTTTAAAGGTGGATTTTTTTAGTGTGCAGTTCCTGCTCCTACTCAGCTCAGCTTTCTGGCAAAAGAAGCCATCATCTCTCCAAAGACGCTGTTCTTAATGAGCAAGACAGAAAGTTTTAATCGCACTAAACATCTGCTCTATAGGGCAGCTGCTCAGACCACACCGCAGGATTAACTTTCGCATAACAGACTTCTTCTCGACCTCCGTCTCCCTCAACCCGTTTGCTGGTCGCTGTCCAAATGGGACATGCCAGTGAGGAGACATGGTGAAAGAGAAACAGACAGAGGGTAGGATGGAATACCATAGTCCCATGCTATGACAGATGTCCCCATTGTGGCCAGATAAATCTTCTTTACTTGCAATCAATGTAACATCACGCCCAACGAGCCACTACACATCTCTCTCTATAATTAATGTGCCAGCCGTGGTCAGCTCTGCAATCTGCATAACAGATACAAACCCCCACACACGTGGACTCACTGAAGTCAACATGAATGTGATGTTTATCGGCTGGATAGCTTATCTGTCTTTCATCTGATGAAAAGATGATCTGCGCATATTACACATATACATTTGTAATAAGTCAACACAAGTTATGAAGGTACGTGTAGTTAAAGGTTAGCATTAAGTCCATAACATCCCATTCTGCAACAGTAGCTTGGCATTCTGGGACATGTTCCTTGTTTACAGTCCAGTAGCTCCTCGTGCTTTTCACAGAGATCTCGTGCATGTGTGGTTGCTTTTTGTGACACTTCAGATCATATAATGTATGTATGCTTCAGACACTTAGTTATGGTCATTTGAAGCTTTTGGGGCAACATAAAACACTATCATAACAGCTCCTCTAATCACCTGCAGATGGTTCATTTTTGCATCACATATATTGTAAATGAATTTAAAATATAATCATGAAGGTTGCATGTGACACTAGATTTGTTTGTGCATTTTGTTTGAGGAGTTTTATACAAAATACAACAGGAGGCATCTTATCTACTGTTTAAGAATGAAGCAAGACTGAAACAGTTTAATGAAAGTAAAGTGATTTTGATTTTCCAATACACAATTTACAAAATACATATTGACATATAGCTGTAATAAACAATATTCGTACAAAATAAACACTTGTTTGGAGGATTATGCTGCGACAAATGGAGCTGTTATGCTTCTGCTCTTGGGTAAACTCTCAGCTGCAGGTAAACAACATAACAGCATGAACTCACAGTAACATGATCGATAACAAGCAGAGAGAAAATCCTCCAGCAAGAATTAAGTTGGAAATAACAAACCTTCAGAGTGAAGAGAAGTAGGTACAGTAGAGTAGGTGGAGGCTGGGGTGAGGAAGACTTTGGCCCACAACAACCACCAAAAAACATCAGCATACAGAAAAAATTAGCTGTGTTTGGTAGACAAACCTC